CCATGATGCGGCTTACTACCTAACCTAACTGAAGCTTCAAACCCGCATCCCTCCCACCCCGCCCCCCAAAATGTTGTCTTAGGTGGTCAGTCGGGAATTTTCTGGTCACACCGATGAGGTCATCACAGGGGCCTCCTCCATCCCCCAGAGGACCATGAGGTAATCTGCCACATAGATCCCTTCTGTACTCCATAGGTAGGTTAACCTAAAAATGAAATGATCTTTTTTATTTATGACTTGTCTGGTTTTAAAAAACCTCTCCTTTTCTGTAGCCCTGTGGAACTCCTCTCTACTTGCTAGAAGGGATGCTTCCTCCTTCATGAATTATTTGAGAAAGCCAATTAGATCTTTAAAATGTACTCAGTTGAATTTTGTTTTTTTAACAAACTCTATTCTAAAACACTCGCCCACGTTCACATCCTTGAGACCCACTCAGAATCCCTGATAAGAGCCTTATTCTCACACTGAGTTCCCATTTCTCTACAGCCACTGTCTTGTAGGTACAAAAGTACTGTCCAGCATCTTTAGGCTTCAGGTCAGTGAGGAGGAGTTTAGTATCCTGTCCTGTTGAGTTGCATTCATGCTTGTACCCAGAGTCCTGCAACTTCCCCAGCACGAATGTCACATTCTGGACGTCAGACTGGCACTTGAGGGTCACATTGCTGCTGTGTTCAACCTCTGAGCTGGGCAAGGCATGGAGGAGGGATTTGGAAAATTTCTCTGGAAAGAATTTGGAGTTAGTTTGACTCTTCATCTTGGTGACCACCAAAACCCTCCTAGAATTCAGAGGATGAAAGGGAAAAGGTCATGAAACTTGGGGCACAGGAAGAGTCTAAGTGGGAGACAACTTACCATAATCTTTCTCGTCTTCATTGCCCAGACAAAGCCCTGGAAGAGAAACTCTCATGAGAGATGAATTATACGTTTGTCTTTTTTTTTTTAATTGAAGTAGAGTTTTGATTTACAATGTTGTGTTAGTTTCAGGTGTACAGCAAAGTGATTCGGTTATATAATATTCTTTTTCAGATTCTTTTCCCTTGTAGGCCATTACAAAATATTGAGTATAGTTCTCTGTGCTATATAATAGGTCCTTGTTGGTTATCTATTTCATATGCAGTAGTGTGTGTATGTTAATCCCAAACTCCTAATTTATCCCTCCCCGCCCTTTCCCCTTTGGTAACCATAAGTTTTTTTTTTTTCTATGTTCGTGGTTCTATTTATGTTTTGTAAGTAATTTCTTCCATATCTTTTTTTAGATTTCACATATAAGTAATATCATATGATATTCGTCTTTCTCTCATTTACTTCACTGAGTATGATAATCTCTCTATGCTTGTGTTTGAGTAAAAATCAGGCAGAGACTGTGTGACTCATCTGTTAAAGATCTGCCTTATTCCTTGCAGGTACTTCCCTGGGTTTATTTTTCCACCTTTTACTTTTGTCCCGTTGTTTGTCATTCGGAAGTTATGTTTACAGCGGTGATCATTGTGTAACGTATAAAAATACCGAGTCACTATGTTGTACACCTGAAACGAATACAACATTTGTTAAGTCAATTATACTTCAATTAAAAATAAATAAGTACATAAAAGTTATTTCCCAGGCACCATCTCAAAAAATAAAATAATGTTATGTTTATGTACAAAATGCCAGGAACTTTTTCTGATATATTGCATTCCTTTCTTAATTAGTCCTTCTTCTTCCATCCGGAAATCACTGAACATTTACCTGCATTTTCTGTGACTGCAATTTTTATGCTTTCCATTTAAAGAACGCAACAGTTGTTTACTGTGGAGTGTCCATGTGGGTTTCCACCCACATTCAAATGGGGAGGATTTGCTCTCCATGACGGGGTCATTCTTTTCACCAAGAATTGAAGATGTTTTCTGGTCCCAAATGCTCCCCTCACTTGCAGCTTTGATCTTTACGTCCTTTAGCCCCTACCTCTTCTGTGCTCTGTTCTTTATATTTCATTCTGGGATGGGGACGTCAACCCACGGATGGAATTAAGGGACCCCAGTCCCATATTGTGGGGGAAATGGATGCCAGTCCTGGGCCTCTGTTAATGGGTGAAGCTAGAATTTCTGTAGACATGAGAGTGACTCAGGACATCTGGCCCTTGTTTCCACTCAGGGATGGACTCAAAACACAAGCCCCCAAGCTTCACCAGGAAGCAGGGAGGTGGGGGAGTGACAGTGGACCGAGGCTGCATTAGCAGTGAGAATGGTTACATTGAAAGGTAGGAAATCAGCTTCTGGGTGGTCAAGGGGGTCCCAGGTCTCATGGTCTCTTTTTAGGCTCTCCGCGTATTCTGCTTTTAGTCTCACGTCACCTCAGCTGTGTTATCAGCCAGTCTTCTGCTCAAATGGTGATTCCCATTCTACCTTTTTTTTTTTTTAATAAGCACACAATTGCCTTAGGTTCACTTTACATCAAGAAACCCTACTAAGGAGTAGGTAAACTTTGGGAGAGCGGTTCTCTGTTTTTGACAAATAAAACTGTAATGTATTCAAAGTGTACAACGTGATGATTTGATGTATGTATACATTGTAAAATGATCACCACGTTCAAGCTAGTTAACATATCTCTCACCTCAGAAAGTTACCTTTTCTGTGTGTGTGAGAATGTTTATGATCCATTCTCTTAGCCAATTTCGATATTATTAACTATAGTCACTATGCTGTTCATTAGATCCTCAGAACCTATCTTTTTCTTTATTTTTGTCTGTGTTGGGTCTTTGTTGCTGGCTTTCTCTAGTTGCGGCAAGCGGGGGCTACTCTTTGTTGTGGTGCATGGGCTTCTCATTGCGGTGGCTTCTCTTACTGTGGAGCACAGGCTCTAGGTGCATGGGCTCAGTAGTTGTGGCCCGTGGGCTCTAGAGTGCGCGGGCTTCAGTAGTTGTGGCGCATGGGCTTAGTTGCTCCATGGCATGTGGGATATTCCCGGACCAGGGATCAAACCCGTGTCCCCTGCATTGGCAGACGGATTCTTAACCACTGCGCCCCCAGGGAAGTCCTTATTTCTTTCTTAATAAAGGACCACAGTTGACTTAGAGAACTGGCTGCAATGAAGACGCTTGTTACTAAGGGGAAGAGACCCACTGGCATGTAGGGTAGCTTGAAAAAGCAAAGAATAAAGGGATAGCTCCTTGGAGTTTAGTAGAATTCTGAGGTCAGGAGCAGTGGGCAACATAAGTAAGCATATTTCACTGGAAATAATTACAATAAATAACTACCAATCGGCGAGTATTTATCATTTGGTAGACTCTTTACATACATCAGCCATTTACATACTTACATTATTTAGCAGGTCCTTTACAGATAACTGTCTTCTACCATACAGCCACCCTCTCTGCCTGACTCAGCCACGCATCACACATTTAACATTTAGTATGGTCTTTACATACACCACATGGAGAGCTGTACAATTTCCATGCTAGAAAGGGAGGAGTGGGTGACACTAGAAACCATAGCTCTCTAGAGAAGGGGAGAATTACTATGATGTTGTGACTTATAACAAGAAACATAGGGACTTCCCTGGTGGTCCAGTGATAAAGAATCTGCCTTCCAATGCAGGGGACGCGGGTTCGATCCCTGGTCGGAGAACTAAGATCCCGCGTGGTGCGGGCAACATTCCGGCAACCTGGAGCCTGCGCGCCACAACTAGAGAGAGAAAACCCGCACGCCACAACTAGAGAGAAGCCCGCGCGCCTCAACGAATGATCCCACATGCCTCAACGAATATCCCGCCTGCCGCAACTAAGACCCGACACAGCCAAAAACAGAAACAAAACAAAAAAAAATGAAAGAAAAAGAAACATGTATTGGGTCTTTGTCCCTGGTCCTGGCACAGAGCTCCTAAAACCCTTGGAATTCCCTAAGTGTTGAGAGATGTAAAGGTGTCTTTTCCTATGTTAATGTAACTTTTGGAAAGTCTCTCTGTAACCTAAGGATGGGTGTGCTGGTTACCACAGAAACAACCACGTGATTGAAGGGTTGGAACTGTCAGTCTCACCCTCCCCCACCCCCTGACCTCTGGGGAGGTCATCAATTGCCAAGGATTTAATCAATCATGCCTATGTAGTGAAGCCGTCATAAAAACCCAAAAGGATAGGGTTCAGAGAGCTTCTTTGTTGGACGTGTGGAGATTTTTTGAGTGTGGCACGCTCAGAAGGTCTTTCCTCATACCTTGCCCTGTGCATCTCTTCCATCTGGCCATTCCTGAGTTCAATTCTTCTACAGTAAATCAGTAATCTAGTGAGTCAAATGTTTCTCTGAGTTCTGTGTTCTAGCAAATTTGAGTTCTAGCAAATTAATGGAACCCAAGGAGGGGGTTTTTGGAACCTTCAATCTATAGCCAGTTGGACAGAAACACAGGTGGCCACCAGGGCTTCTGACTAGCATCTGAAGTGGGAGGGAGGCCGTCTTTTAGGACAGAGCCCTTAATCTGTGGGATCGGACAGTATCTCCAGGTAGATAGTGTCACGATGGAGTCGAATTGTGGGACACCCAGCTGGTGTCAGAGAGTTGCTCCGTGCTGGGGGAGACAAAGCCCACAACACACACACACTGGAATTGGATGCAGAATCCTAACTGAAGTCTGAGAAATAAAATATTGCCTGCCATATCAGTAAACAAAGGATGTCACAGTCATCAGCGATTAGAGCCACCAGTGAGCTGGTGAGCCCTGAGGGAACTCAGGAAGGAAACAAAGAATACCCACCATCTAGCAGTCATCAGACTGCAGCCAGTCCCCACGGTGAGCCCTGAGGGAACTCAGGAAGGAAACAAAGGATACCCGCTGGGCTTCCCTGGTGGCACAGTGGTTGAGAGTCCGCCTGCCGATGCAGGGAACACGGGTTCGTGCCTCGGTCCGGGAAGATCCCACATGCCGCGGAGCGGCTGGGCCCGTGAGCCATGGCCGCTGAGCCTGGGCGTCCGGAGCCTGTGCTCGGCAACGGGAGAGGCCACAACAGTGAGAGGCCCGCGTACCGCAAAAAAAAAAAAAAAAAAAAAGAATACCCGCCATCTAGCAGCCATCAGACTGCAGCCAGTCCCCAGGGTGAGCCCTGAGGGAACTCAGGATGAGAAAACGCAGGATACTGACCCCAGGTAGCCGAGGTGTCTGTCAAAGGAATGGTTTCAGTAAGCCTAGTCTCTTGCATCTTCCCATATACAGAAAAGCGCTAAATGCCTTAACTTGAGATATCTGGTTTTCTTTCATTAACAATAATCTTTTGACATTCAAAGTACCTGCCCTTTGTTGCAAAACTCCTATATATCCTGCAGGGTTACTTGAGATGCTGTCTCCTGGGCTTGAAGTCCTAAGAATATCCACCAAATAAAACATAACTCTCAACTTCTAAGTTGTGCGATTCATTTTTCAGTCGACAGTTCACATGAGGTCATGCTGGAGTAGGCGGGGAGCCTAACCCAACAGGAGACAGAACACAGGGAGGGAAGATGGCCATGTGACCGTGTGAGGCTTTGCAGTAATGCGTCTACACACCAAGGGATGCCAAGGGTTGCCAGCCATCTCCCAACCAGAATCGAGGAGAGAGGCATGGAATAGGCTCTCCCTCAGAGCACCCCCCTCCCCCCCGAGAAGGAATCAACCCTGCTGACACCTGGATTTTGGACGTCTGGCCTCCAGAACGGTGAGAGAATAGATGTCTCTTGTTTTAAGCCACCCGATTTGCGGTGATTCGTTACGGCAGCCCCAGGAAATAAATGTGAGGAGGACGAGGTCGGTGACCGCCCCGTTTATTCTGCCCTGCAGCTGGAGGTTTGGGGTATGGTGACCGGCCTCTCAAGCTCAAATGTGTGCGTGGGAGAAGCATGACCTCAAAGGGAAGGGCCGAACCCAGAAGAAGGAAGAAGTAACTAGGGCAGATAATGAGTCCTAATGTCCTCCACACCATCCCTTCCCCCACCCCACCCCACTCACGAAGGAGGAGCTAGGTACTCAGTCTGGTGGAACTCCTGTTTCAAATTCTGGGGCTCCCGTGAGACCAAGCCAAGATTCTATTCCAGGTCTCCCATCCTAGAAGCTGAGGTCTGTTCGATCACCTTATGTTCAAGTTGAGGATGGTTGAAATCAGGCTAAGGATAGGGCTGGTCAGAAAATGTTCTTCGTATCCTCTGTTCGCTGCCTTAGGGTCATAGGGGAGAACAAATCTGACTCCATATTGGATCTGTTTCTTTTATTTTAACCTTTGTATTCTATTGCTTTTGCTACAAGTTAATCACTAAAGGGATGTTGCCTATAAACTGAAAGTAGACATAATGGCCTATTTCTAGGAACCTTGGCTCCCATGCCTGAGCCTTAAGCTAAAATACCTTTGTTCAGCTCACAGGAAACATCCTGACCAGGCCCACCCGTGAATGGCTGCAGGAAAGAAGAAGTTAATGTACCCCCTCCGAAGTCTGGTGGGAACAGGAAATATTTGTAACAACTTGTTGCCTTTTTTTTACTTTACCTCCTCACCTCTCCCTCTTGGTTCTATAAAAGAAACTCGCATCCAGAACCCCGGCAAGATGGTTTTTTGGGACACTAGTCCACCATCTTCTTGGTCTGCTGGCACTATTCCTTGCCCCAACAACTTGTCTCTCTTGAATTATTGGTCCGTCATGCAGCAAGCAGTACAAGTTTGGACTCGGTAACAGTAGGTCTTTTCTGTATTCCTCGTTCATAACCAAACTCACAGCTTTTCACACCCTGTAGACCCTGCCCTCCTATATGCCAATGGAACATTCAAGGCGAGAGGGTGGTATGTAGATGATACACACGTGGAGGTCGCATCGGAGCTGTGCATATCTCAGCCAATTAAACCAAGGGTATTACCACACGTCTCTGCACCTCTGCTCCCTCATCCCTTTTGTGTGAGCACCAAAACGAGAGCATGTGGGTACCACAGCCGGTACATTGTACCCAACACACAGAAGCCATAATTTCTGTACTTGTCACATCCCCCGTGTTAACCCCCACTCCACCGTGAATGTTCTCACCCATCCAAACCCATCTGTCCCCGTCCTGGAGACTCACCAAGGTGAAGCAGGGACAGGAATTCTGTGATCATAGCGTCCCTTCTGCCCGGACCAAGATGCCGTGTTCAGTCTTACAGTTCAAAGGAAGAAACTGCACTGAGCAATTGCAACTCCCTCCTGCTATCTCGGTCCAGAGGAGGTGGGGCGAGAGGTTTTGCTCTGACACTTTTCTTCTCCACTACCTGCTGTGCAGCTTCCTTCTCACAACTGACTCAGGAAACCAGAAGCCACCAATGACGACATCTTCCTCCACCCACCCTGAGATCTCTCCTGTCTCATCTGAAGTCCTACCCTGCGTTCGGTCTTCGTTGCTGCATGTGGGTTTCCTCTAGTTGCGATGAGCAGGGGCTACTCTTCATTGTGGTGCGTGGGCTTCTTATTGTGGTGGCTTCTCTTGTTGCGGAGCATGGGCTCTAGGCACGCAGGCTTCAGGAGTTGTGGCACGCTGGCTCAGTAGTTGTGGCCCAAGGGCTCTAGAGAGCAGGCTCGGTAGTTGTTTAAAATGTGTTAATTTCTGCTGTACAACAAATAGAATCAGCTGTACGTATACATATATCCCCATATCCTCTCCCTCTTGCGCCTCCTTCCCACCCTCCATATCCCATCCCTCTATGTCGTCACAACGCATCGAGCTGATCTCCCTGTGCTATGTGGTGGCTTCCCACTAGCCATCCATTTTACATTGGTAGTGTATATATGTCAATGCTACTCTCTCACTTCATCCCAGCTTCCCCTTCCCCCCTGTGTCCTCAAGTCCATTCTCTACGTCTGCATCTTTATTCCTGCCCTGCCACTAGGTTCATCAGTACCGCTCTTTTAGATTCCATATATACGCGTTAGCATATGGTATTTGCTTTTCTCTTTCTGACTTACTTCACTCTGTATGACAGACTCTAAGTCCATCCACATCACTACAAATAACTCAATTTCATTCCGCTTTATGGCTGAGTAATATTCCATTGTATAAATGTGCCGCATCTTCTTTATCCATTCATCTGTTGATGGACATTTCGATTGCTTCCATGTCCTGGCTATTGTGGTACATGTATCTTTTTGAATTATGGTTTTCTCAGGGTATGTGCCCAGTAGTGGGATTGCTGGGTCATATGCTAGTTCTATAAATAGTTTTTTAAGGAACCTCCATACTGTTCTCCATAGTGGCTGTATCAATTTACATTCCCACCAACAGTGCAGGAGGGTTCCCTTTTCTCCACACCCTCTCCAGGATTTATTGTTTCTAGATTTTTTGATGATGGCCATTCTGACCAGTGTGAGGTGATACCTCATTGTGGTTTTGATTTGCATGTCTCTGATAATTAGTGATGGTGAGCATCTTCATGTTTTTGTTGGCAATCTGAATGTCTTCTTTGGAGAAATGTCTATTTAGGTCTTCTGCCCATTTTTGGATTGGGTTGTTTGGGTTTTTTTTTATATTGAGCTGCATGAACTGCTTGTACATTTTGGAGATTAATCCTTTGTCAGTTTCTTCGTTTGCAAATATTTTCTCCCATTCTGGGTGTTGTCTTTTTGTCTCAATTTTGGTTTCCTTTGCTGTGCAAAAGCTTTTAAGTTTCATTAGGTCCCATTAGTTTATTTTTTTAATTTCCGTTTCTCTAGGAGGTGGGTCAAAAAGGATCTTGCTGTGATTCATGTCATAGAGTGTTCTGCCTATGTTTTCCTCTAAGAGTTTTATAGTATCTGGCTTTACATTTAGGTCTTTAATCCATTTTGAGTTTATTTTTGTGTGTGGTGTTAGGGAGTGTTCTAATTTCATTCTTTTACATGCACTTGTCCAGTTTTCCCAGCACCACTTATTGAAGAGGTTGTCTTTTCTCCATTGTATATTCTTGCCTCGTTTGTCAAAGATAAGGTGACCATATGTGTGTGGGTTTATCTCTGGGCTTTCTATCCTGTTTCATTGATCTATATTTCTGTTTTTGTGCCAGTACCATACTGCCTTGATTACTGTAGCTTTGTAATATAGTCTGAAGCAGGGAGCCTGATTCCTCCAGCTCCATTTTTCTTTCTCAAGATTGCTTTGGCTATTCGGGGTCTTTTGTGCTTCCCTACAGATTGCAAAATTTCTTGTTCTAGTTCTGTGGAAAATGCCATTGGTAATTTGATAGCGATTGCATTGAACCTGTAGATTGCTTTGGGTAGAATAGTCATTTTCACAATATTGATTCTTCCAATCCAGGAGCATGGTGTATCTATCGATCTGTTTATGTCATCTTTGATTTCTTTCACTGGTGTTTTATAGTTTTCTGAGTACAGGTCTTTTACTTCCTTAGGTAGGTTTATTCCTAGGTATTTTATTCTTTTTGTTGCGATGGTAAATCGGATTGTTTCCTTAATTTCTCTTTCTGATCTTTTGTTGTTAGTGTACAGGAATGCAAGAGATTTCTATGCATTAATTTTGTATCCTGCAAACTTAAAAAATTCATTAATTAGTTCTAGTAGTTTTCTGGTGGCATCTCTAGGATTTTCTATGTATAGTATCATGTCATTAGCAAACAGTGACAGTTTTACTTCTTCTTTTCCAATTTGTATTCCTTTTATTTCTTTTTCTTCTCTGATTGCCGTGGCTAGGACTTCCAATACTACGTTGAATAATAGTGGTGAGAGTGGACATCCTTGTCTTGTTCCTGATCTTAGAAGAAATGCTTTCAGTTTTTCACCATTGAGAATGATGTTTTCTGTGGGTTTGTCATATATGGCTTTTATTATGTTGAGGTAGGTTCCCTCTATGCCCACTTTCTGTAGAGTTTTTTATCATAAATGGGTGTTGAATTTTGTCAAAAGCTTTTTCTGCATCTATTGAGATGATCATATGGTTTTTATTCTTCAATTTGTTAATATGGTGTATCACATTGATTGTTTTTTGTATATTGAAGAATCCTTGCATCCCTGGGATGAATCCCACTTGATCATGGTGTATGATCTTTTTAATGTGTTGTTGGATTGTGTTTGCTAGTATTTTGTTGACGATTTTTACGTCTATGTTCATCAGTGATATTGGTCTGTAATTTTCTTTTCGTGTGATATCTTTGTCTGGTTTTGGTATCAGGATGATTGTGGCTTCATAGAACGGGTTTGGGAGTGTTCCTCCCTCTGCAATGTTTTGGAAGAGTTTGAGAAGGATAGGTGTTAACTCTTCTCTAAATATCTGATAGAATTCACCTGTGAAGCCATCTCGTCCTGGACTTTTGTTTGTTGGAAGATTTTTTTTAACATCTTTATTGGAGTATAATTGCTTTACAATGGTGTGTTAGTTTCTGCTTTATAACAAAGTGAATCAGCTGTACATATACATATATCCCCATATCTCTTCCCTCTTGCACCTCCCTCCCTCCCACCCTCCCTATCCCACCCCTCTAGGTGGTCACAAAGCACCGAGCTGATCTCCCTGTGCTATGCAACTGCTTCCCACTAGCTATCGATTTTACAGTTGGTAGTGTATATATGTCCATGCCAGTTTCTCACTTTGTCCCAGCTTACCCTTCCCCCTTCCGTTAGAAGGTTTTTTGTGTGTGTGTGGTACGCGGGCCTCTCACTGTTGTGGCCTCTCCCGTTGCCGAGCACAGGCTCCGGACGCGCAGGCTCAGCGGCCATGGCTCACGGGCCCAGCCGCTCCGCGACATGTGGGATCTTCCCGGACCGGGGCACGAACCCGTGTCCCCTGCATCGGCAGGCGGACTCTCAACCACTGCGCCACCAGGGAAGCCCCTGGCAGGTAGATTCTTAACCACTGGGCCACCAGAGAAGTCCTGCTTATCTTTTTAAAAATAATAAATGTATTTATTTATTTATTTTTGGCTGAGTTGGGTCTTTGTTGCTGCACGCAGGCTTTCTCTGGTTGTGGCGAGCAGGGGCTACTACTCGTTGCGGTGCGTGGGCTTCTCACTGCAGTGGCTTCTCTTGTTGCAGAGCACGGGCTGTAGGCATGCGGGCTTCAGTAGTTGTGGCACGTGGGCTCAGTAGTTGTGGCTTACGGGCTCTAGAGCACAGGCTCAGTAGTTGTGGCGCACGGGCTTAGTTGCTCCGCAGCATGTGTGATCTTCCCGGACCAGGGCTTGAACCTGTGTCCCCTGCATTGGCAGGCGGATTCTTAACCACTGCACCACCAGGGAAGCCCTATCTATTTTATACACAGTAGTTTGTATCTGTTAATTCCCCACCCCGATGTTGCTCCTCCCACCTTCCCTCTCCCCACTGGTAACCACTACTTTGTTTTCTCTATCGGTGAGTCTGTTTCTGTTTTGCTATACACATTCGTTTGTATTATTTTTCGGACTCCACATATAAGTGATATCATACAGTATTAGTCTTTCTCTGTCTTAAATATTGATAGCTTTAGAGTCACAAAAAAATAGTACAGAGTTCTCAGTACCCCATCAGTCAGCTTCTCTGATGGTGATATAACTACAGTACATTATCAAAACCAGGAAATCAGCATTAACACAATACACTGGCTGGGCAAGCACATACTAACACCTAAAATGTAGTGATCTCTGATAAGAGCTGGACACTCACTGGCCCTGAGAGCAGGTAGGTCAACAAGAGAACAGAAATGGATGTTTCTGCCTTTGAGACAGAGTAAACTTGTTCCCTAGTAAGCCTTGACAACTGGGTCATGCAACAGTCAGGTTTTTAGTTTATTATTTTTATCGAAGTAGAGTTGATTTTCGGTGTCGTACTAGTTTCAGGTGTGCAGCAAAATGACTCAGCTATATACGTGTATTATATATATATAATTTTTCATGTTGCTTTATTACAAGGTACTGAATACAGTTCTCTGTGCTGTACAGTAGGACCTTATTGTTTATCTATTTTATATGGTCTGTATCTGCTAATTCCAAACTACTAATTTATCCCTCCCCCCTCCCCCCTTTGGTAACTATAAGTTTGTTTTCTATGTCTGTGAGTCTGTTCTGTTTGGTAAATAAGTTGATTTGTATTTTTTTTTAGATTCCACATATAAGTGATATCATAATATTTGTCTTTGTCTGACTTACTTCACTCAGTATGATCATCTCTAGGTCCATCCATGTTGCTGCAAATGGCATTATTTCATTCCTTTTTATGGCCGAGTAGTATTCCATTGTGTATATACATACCACACATATATGTATACCACATCTTCTTTATCCATTCATCTGTCGATGGACATTTAGATTGCTTCCATGTCTTGGTTATTGTAAATAGGGCTGCTATGAACATTGGGGTGCATGTATCTTTTTGACTTAGAGTTTTTTTCTAGATATATGCCAACGAGTGGGATTGCTGGAAACAGTTAGGTTTTTTTGTTTGTTTGTTTTGTTTTTTTGCGGTACGTGGGTCTCTCACTGTTGCGGCCTCTCCCCTTGCAGAGCACGGGCTCCGGACGCACAGGCTCAGCGGCCACGGCTCACGGGCCCAGCCGCTCCGCGGCATGTGGGATCTTCCCAGACCGGGGCATGAACCCGTGTCCCCTGCATCGGCAGGTGGACTCTCAACCACTGCACCACCAGGGAAGCCCAACAGTTAGGTTTTTAATGTGCTTTCTTTTACAGAAGGGAAAGTAATCAAGGGAAATTGGAAAGTGTCCATTCAATTATTTTCCCAAATGGGAAGAGCATAATCCCATTTCCTAGGAGCTAAGGAGGAAACATTAATGAATTAAAGGAGTTGATTCCTCTCTAAAACTATATCCATTTATCTTTCCTCCCAGCTATTCACTGCTTCCACAAAAGTCATGAGTGGTCAATGTAGATTTTTGACCGCTATGTGACAGAGGAGATAGAGGAGTTTCATATCACACACCCACTGCTGATTTCCCTTCTCTTTTTCCCAGTGCAGTGCACATGTTTCTGGTTTCCTTGATGTCATTCATCTAGATTCTTTTTTTTAAAATCCCCACCCTAAATTTCTTAACTCATTTTTATGCAGAACAATTCAGATTATCTAGCAATTGACTCCTTAACGTTTACACCCAAGCCCACCACTGTGCTCAGCAAAACAAAGGGTCTTCATTTTAAAAGACTCACCGTTGGACTTCCCTAGTGGCTCAGTGGTTAAGAATCTGCCTGCCAGGGCTTCCCAGGTGGCGCAGTGGTTAAGAATCCACCTGCCAATGCAGGAGACATGGGTTTGAGACCTGGTCTGGGAAGATCCCACATGCCGCGGAGTAACTAAGCCCGTGCGCCACAACTACTGAGCCTGCACTCTAGAGCCCACGGGCCAGAACTACTGAGCCCGTGGGCCACAATTACTGAAGCCCACATGCCTAAAAGCCCATGCCCTGCAACAAGAGAAGCCACCTCAGTGAGAAGCCCGCGAAGAGTAGCCCCTGCTCGCCATAACTAGAGAAAGCCCACACGCAGCAACGAAGACCCAACACAGCCAAAAAAAAAAAAAAAAGCTCACCTTTTTTAGAAATATTTGAGAGTGATAAGAAAAAATTCCCAAGAAATATCTATATCTATATCTCCTAAACTGTTATCTTATTTTGTCATAAACCTATAAAACTTAAAGTGTTTCATGCCAATGAATGCTTCCCCACACACGGTAATAAGTTGCTTCCACAACATGATTTAATTTTTTATTTTGGTTCTTTTATTAGTTTATACATTATCATATCTTCTTGGAACATTGAAATTTTATTTTTATGTTCCATAACATGATTTAAATTGCTGAATCGTTCTCCACTCTATAAAAGTAAAAACTTGTAACTAACCAACCTCCTACTCCTGTACATTTATATTACTTCCAACTCATTTGCTACTATAATCATAATAAAAATTAACAACTTGTAATTCTTTTGGACAGCCTTAGTTATTCCTTAGGGTAAACTACTGGGATTTAAATTCTCAAGTGGAAGGCTATAAATGTTGGGGGGCAGGGATGAGCTTCATAACCCAGTTGCCCTTAGTAACTAGTATTGCTTTATCATTCTAAAAACTGATGATGTATCATTTTTCCAAATTCTATTTAACATTAGATTTTAGCATTAAAAACTGTCAAATTAATAATGCAAAATGACATTTTATTTACTTTTCCGGGTTTGATTTCGTGGAATAGCAAATGTCTGCAAATGTCTTTCTGTTCTTTTTCTTTTTTGGACTTTTTCATGTGCAATGCAGTTAATGAGAGAGGCATGTCAAAATACAAAATATGATTATAGGCTTAGCTTCTTTAATACTGTCAGCAATTCTTTTATAGATTTTGTATCTATATTATTGGATTTTGTATCTATGAGGTGCCTACAGAGTTGGGGTTATTACATATTTTTCTTGACCTATTTTATCATTAGGAAACGTTCCCCTTCATATCTGAATACTATTTCTTGCCTTAAAATCTACTTTATGTGATGTTAATATAGCCATACCACCTTTGTTTTGATGGTGTTTGCATAGTATAACTTTTTGTATCTTTTTGCTTTCAAGGCACCTCTGTATATACCAATACTTAAAGTGTTTCTCTTGAAAAAAAAAAAACCCGGCATTTATTTAGGTCTTTTTTTAAACATCCATTAGATCTTTTCATTGAATTTCAGGGCCAATTGATGTTCTATGTAATTACTTATTTATAGGATGAAAGTTTATAATCTTCTAATCTTTCTATTTGCCCATCTGTTTTATGTTTCCAATTTCGTTTTAAAAATTATTTTTTACTGTGCTATTTTAATTTTTTTTAGCTTCACCAATAATATGCCATTTTAAATCTTCAACTTTCTTTACCTCTACATTACTTTTTTTTTTTTTTCAGGGGGTTGCGTGTCTCTTTATTTTATTTTATTTTTAACGTTTCTATCTACATTACTTTTTGTGCAATTCTTTTCGAGATTACCCTATTGATCACAACATATGCTTGACTTACTAATGGCTGTCACATTTTCCCACTTAAAACTTGACACGAGTGTAACTTCAGACTAAATTTTTTTAAATTAATTAATTAATTAATTATTGGCTGCATTGGGTCTCCGTTGCTGCGCGCAGGCTTTCTCTAGTTGTGGCAAGCAGGGGGTACTCTTCGTTGCAGTGAGCGGGCTTCTTATTGCAGTGGCTTCTCTTATTGCGGGGCATGGGCTCTAGGCGCACGGGCTTCAGTAGTTGTGGCACAGGGGCTCAGTAGTTGTGGCCCGTGGGCTCTAGAGCACAGGCTCAGTCGTTGTGGCACACAGGATCAGTTGCTCCGCGGCATGTGGGATCTTCCCAGACCAGGGCTTGAACACGTGTCCCTGCCTTGGCAGGCGGATTCCTAACCGCTGCGCCACCAGGGAAGCCCTGGATTTGTTTTTAAATGCATGAACCATGGTCTTGCTCCTTCTCTGCACATGGACCTCAAATCACAGTCATTCAATGTTCACTAACATTGACCCCTTCACTCTGTTCTAAGGTCCAGCATCTTTCCTATTGGCCAGGAAATTCTCTACTTCTCTGTATCAACTTTTTCCATCTCCCCAACAGCATCCCGGCTTTCAGCATTCCTGGCTTATCTAGGTGCGTTAGAATTTGAGGTCTGAATTTGACTGTGTTCAGACATAGATTTTGCACCAAGAGTGGTTTAGGTAGAAAGAGAAAATAAGAGGATTGGTGGAATTTTTGTGGAAACGAGAAAGGCCCTGGAGCCTTGGGAGGTGACAGCAGCACAGGGGAACCTTCATGGGACATGGTGGAGGAGATGAGAGCAGAGCAGGAGCCAGAGTCCAGTGTGGGGAAGTGAGAGCTCCCACACGTATGAGCCCTGAGACGGCCCCTCAGGGATCAGGAGGTGAGGACGCAGGTGCCTGTGTCTCAGGGACGATTCTTTGCAGGGCTGTGTGTTGGCCAAGGAGACATAAGAAGAGATGGTGAGTGTTTCTTCATAAACCCTCCTTGACCCTTCACCCCGCCAAAGGTCCCATTTTCCCCTCTCCCTTCTTTAAATGGGCTTCCTGAGAGCAGGTGAGTGGATCACATCCAGTCCTGAGATCTGCTTCCTTCCAGGCACTTCTGAAGCCCTCCCTCAGTGCCTGGCCCAGCTCGGTGGTACCTGCCCAGAGGAACGTGACCCTGCGATGCTGGACTCTCGCTAAGGATATAAACTTTGCTCTCAGAAAGGGAGGAGATATCTTGTAGTTCTTGCAATCACCTGACTCTACAGAGGGCCTGGCTGAACTTCAGCTGACTCATCTAAAATCCAGTCATGCTGGAGAGTACCCCGTGAATGCTACAGAAAAGGCCACCCCCCACATAGGTTCATAGCTCAGTGATGTCCTGCTTCTACTGGTGACAGGTGAGGAGGGGGTGCCTCAGAATGACAAACGGTCTCCCTAGGGACAGGGAATGAGGGAGGAACCAGAGGAAGGAGGAGAGGGGAGTTCCTCTCCAGTGGTTGGGGAGGGGGAGATGGAGAAAGACAGGGACAGAATTGATACCTTGGTTTTATCCAGGGCTTGTAGGAGGCAAAATCTCCTTCCTGGAATCAGAGAAGAAAGCGGGTGAGATCAGGTATCTGTCATTCCCACACCCCATGAGAACCCCCTGCCAGGAGAACAGGGGGAGTGGGGGACCCAAGGCTTCTCCCTGTGACCTCAAGGCCCTCCCTTCTCTTACAGGAGATTTACCTAAACAGGAGCCATGAAGTCCGGAAACACACAAGTAAATCCTGTGATGGTGTTTTTATTTAAGCCTATAAGTGCCTGTAGTTATAAGTCTCCACTGCAGAGGAACTCAAAATGGAGGCCCTTTCTGAAAGCGTCCACTTGCCCAACTGAGCCCTGCTCACCACTCTCCCCTTTAAGCCTTCCAGATAACCAGATCAAACTCTCCTTTATACTCCCTGCCACCTCCATCCTCTGGCTTTTGCAATTTCTGCCTAACCTAGATCGGTACAGGATTCAAAGGCTGATTGAAACCCCACATCTTCCAGGAAGTTCTTTCTGACTCTGGCCCTTCCGTGACCTCCAACAGCACTATAATTCGTAATTTTTCTTCATTACATTGTACTTCGCAAATTCACCTTTCTGCTTAACCTAACGTGAGGACGAGAGCTGGGGCATGAACTCATCTGCTTCCCACCAATCCTAGCAAGGTGTTCAGTACACAGTAGGCCCTCGTTAAATCATATGGACCCGGATTTGATGCATATCAAGCGCGGCTAATTCCCAAAGGAGTTGTACAGTGGGTGGGCCAGGCCCTGAGGACTACAAGTCCCAGTGACCCGTGCGGGTCTGGCCCTGGTTACTGGGAGCTGGGGGTGGGGTGGGGGAGGGACACGGAGCTGGGTTTTTCCATTGAGCAGAGCTCCCACCAGACAAATACTGGAGGATTTAATAGGGATGGCCGGCGGAAGGGTGGGGGGTGGCTCTAACGGGCAGTATGACATTCATCTGGATGGACAGTGCACTTTTGCTCTCTCTGGGCAGCGAATGCAGGACGCACGATCTACCGCGGTCTAGGAGAGTTCACCAACCCACCCTCACCGCTCCCTACGCGCCCACCCAACACCCGCAGCCTCACGCCCTTAGCTTCGCGCTTGCTCTCCAGGGCGCGCCAGGCAAGACGGCCTTGGAGTATGCGCTGTGCGCCCCTCCGCCGCCTGGTCAGAGCGCGCGCAACGCGTGCGCCTTCGGTAACCTGTGAGCACCGTCTGCTCACCAGCCTCCCGCGTGTGCACGCCCGCGGCCGCAGCTGATCCGCTGTATGTTCTAGAAGAAGCCTAAGAGTGGGATTCCTGGGGAGTAGGAGCCTCACGCCTCTCGTATCATGGTGAGGAAGAACAGTATCCCCAACGGGTGAGTATCCGCCGCGAGCTCCCTGGTGACAACCGGAGTCGCTAGATGAGCGGCCGTTCCCAGGGAGGCGGGGAGATGCTCTCGAGCCCCGCCGTCGGAAGCGGCCGCGCGCGCCCTCGAGGTGCACCCCGTCGCCTCTGTCGGGCCTGTGCGCGGAGGGGCGAGCAGGTGGCATTGGGGGGGCGGCGGGGGGCCCAGCAGGTGGGGCTGGCGGCGCCCCTCACGGCGCTGGGGGTGGGGGAGGGCCAGGAGACCTGCCTTCCCTCTCCCGCTGCCTCAGGCTTGCCCGGAGGAGAGGGGGTTCTTTGATTTCAGGTGCTTTGGGTGTGGCATCCCAAACAGCTCCCTAAATATGCAAGGGATTCTTTTTCTCTCGAGAGTTCATTGTTACTGTAGACAATTTGATACTTTTAAAAGTCTTAAAATAGGACATGCTAGGCGTGCTCACTCTGTCATGTCAATTTTTTTAATTGAATAAATTTCGCATGTAATATTGTGTAAATTTAAGGTGTACAGCTGTTACTTTGATACATTATATATGTTGTAACAATATTTATCATATTACATAATTATACGATAGTGTTACTGTTTATGTTCGTTTTACTGTGCATTAGATCTCTATGGCTTATTTACTACTCCTTACAAATACGTACCCTTAAACACCATCAGTCTTAGCCCCCAGCCCCTGGTAACACAGTTTTACTCTCTCTTTTCTACAGGTTTGACTTTTTTAGATTCCACTTATAAGTGAGTGATTTCATAGAGTACTTACTTTCTCTGTCTGACTTATCTCACTTAGCTTAATGAGTTCATGGTCCACCCATGTCGTCGCAAATGGCAGTATGTCCTCCTTTCTCATGGCTACATAATATTCCATTGTGTATATATAGCACATCTTTTTACCCATTCATCTGTTGTTGATTAATTTGGGTTGTTTCCATTATGTTGGCTATTGTGAATAGTGCTGTGATAAACATGGGAGTGCAGATATCTCCTCAAAATCCTGTTTTTGTTTCCTTTGGGTATATACCCAGGAGTGGAATTGCTGGATCATATGGTAGGCCTATTTTTAATTTGGGAGGAAACCTCCATATTGTTTTCCATAGTGGTTGGACCAATTTAGATCCCCTCCAACACTGTATAGGGTTCCCTTTTCACCACATCCTCACCAGCACCTGTTGTCTCCTGTCTTCCTGATGATAGCACTTGTAACAGGTGTGAGGTGATAGTTCATTGTGGTTTGAATTTGCATTTCCCTAATAGTGATGTTGAGCATCTTTCCATGTGCCCGTTGGCCATTTGGATGTCCTCTTTGGAAAAATGTATTTCTGTGGTATCCATTGTAATTTCTCTTCTTTCGTTTCTGATTTTATTTACGAGCCCTCTCTCTTTTTTTTCTTAGTGAGTCTGGCTAAAGGTTTGTCAGTTTTGTGTATCTTTTTAAAGAACCAGCTTTGGGCTTCCCTAGTAGCGCAGTGGTTGAGAGTCTGCCTGCCGATGCAGGGGACACGGGTTTGTACCCCGGTCTGGGAAGATCCCACATGCTGCAGAACGGCTGGGCCCGTGAGCCATGGCCGCTGAGCGTGCGCGTCCGGAGCCTGTGCTCCGCAACGGGAGAGGCCACAACAGTGAGGGGCCCGCGTACCGCAAAAAAAAAAAAAAAAAAAAAAAAGAACCAACTCCTAGTTTCATTGATCTTTTCTATTGTCTTTTTAGTTTCTATTTAATCTATTTAATTTCTTTCTGTTCTTATCTTTATTATTTCCTTCCTTCTACTGACTTTGGGCTTTGTTCGTTCTTTTTTTAAATTACTTTAAGTGTAAAGTTAGATTGTTTTTTGAGATTTTTCTTGTTTCTTGAGGTAATCCTGTATTGCTATAAATTTCACTTTTAGAAGTTTAGCTTTTGCTGCATCTCATAGATTTTTGTATCTTATATTTTCATTTTCATTTATCTTCAGGTATTTAAAAATTTCTCCTTTGGTTTCTTTACTGACCCAATAGTTGTTCAGTAGCATGTTGTTCAGTCTCCATATGTTTGTGATTTTTCCAGCTTTCTTCTTTAGTTGATTCCTAGCTGCATACCACTGTGGTCGGAAAAGATGCTTGATATGATTTCAGTCTTCTTAAATTTATTGAGACTTGTTTTGTGTCCCAACCTATGGTCTATGCTTGAGAATGTTCCATGTTCACTTGAGAAGAATGTGTATTCTGCTGCATTTGAATGGAATGTTCTGTACAGATCTGTCAAATTCATCTGTTCTAATATTTTGTTTAAGGCTATAGTTTCCTTGTTGACTTTCTGTCTGGATGATCTATCCATTGATGGAAGTGGGGTGTTAACGTCCCCTACTATTAATGTGTTGCTGTCATTTACTCCCTTTAGGTCTGTTAATAATTGCTTTATTAAAAAAAATAATTGGGACTTCCTTGGTGGCACAGTAGTTAAGCATCCGCCTACCAATGCAGGGGACATGGGTTCGAGCCCTGGTCCGGGAAGATCCCACATGCCGCGGAGCGACTAAGCCCCGTGCGCCACAACTACCAAGCTTGCACTCTAGAGTCCGCAAGCCACAACTATTGAGCTCACATGCCACAACTACTGAGCCTGTGCACCTAGAGCCCGTGCTCCGCAACAAGAGAAGCCACCGCAATGAGAAGCCCGTGCACCGCAACGAAGAGTAGCCCCTGATCGCCGCAACTAGAGAAAGCCCACGTGCAGCAACAAAGACCCAACACAGCCAAAAATAAATAAAAGTAAATAAATAAATTTATTTTAAAAAAATAATTACTTTATATATTTTGGTCCTCCTATGTTAGGTGCATTTGTATTGGTAACTGTTATGTTTTCTTGATGAATTTTTCCCTTTGTGATTATATAATGTCCATTATTGTCTCTTGTTACCTTTTTTGGCTTGAAGTCTATTTTGTCTGATATGAGTATGGCTACACCCACTTTCTTCTGGCTGACATTTGCTTGGAGTATCATCTTTCATCCCTTACTTTGAGCCAGCATTTGTTTTTAGAAACCCAGAGATGAGCCTCTTGGAGAAAGCACATAGTTGGGCCTTGGGTTTTTGTTTAATACATCCAGCCACTCTGTGTCTTTTGATTGGTGAATTCAATTCATTTACATTTAGGGTAATTATTGATAGAGGAGGACTTAGTCCTGCCACTTTATCTTTTGTTTCCTGGTTGCTCTGTATCTCTGTTGTTTATTTTTGTGTGGGTTTCTATCTGCCATTTTAGTTTAGTGCTTTTCTATGATATTTTTCTTAGTTTCCTCTTTTTTTTTTTTTTAGTTTCCTCTTTTTTTTATATTTCATGTCTCTGCTCTAGATTTATGTGCTGTGGTTCCCATGAGGTCTGTATAAAACATCCCATAGATGAAATAGTCCTTTTTCTGCTGATACCATCTTATCTTCATTTGCCTTTGTGGGTTCTATCCTTTTCCTCTTCCCTTTTCTGTTTCTGTTGTCTCAAATTATCCCTTTTTATGTTGTGAGCTTGTTGCCAAATTGAAGTGGCTATAGTTATTTGTACTACTTTTTCCTTTTTAACCTTTATGCTGTAATTGTTTAAAAACCTATTGTGATATAGAGTTGATATATCCATCTGTTTATCACCTTCCTCAACATTTTGTGTACTTTTGCCTTTTTGTTTCAGGTAGAAGAGCTCCTTTCAACATTTTTTGTAAGGAATGTCTGGTGTTGAACTCTGTCAGCTTTTTTCTGTCTGGGAAAGGCTTATTTCTTTTCTCTTTTTTTTTGACAGGAGGAATAGCTTTATTGCTTTGCCGAGCAAAGAGGGCCACAGTGGGCTAATGCCCTCAAAACTCTGTGTCCCCCTTTATTTCTAATTCATATTGGAAAGATAACTCTGCTGGATAGAGTATCCTTGGGCACATTTGACACATTATTTATTTATTTTTTTATTTTATTTTATTTTTTTTTTGCGGTACGCGGGCCTCTCACTGCTGTGGCCTCTCCCGTTGTGGAGCACAGGCTCCGGACACGCAGGCTCAGCGGCCATGGCTCACGGGCTCAGCCGCTCCGCGGCATGTGGGATCTTCCCAGACCGGGGCATGAACCCGTGTCCCCTGCCTTGGCAGGAGGACTCTCAACCACTGCGCCACCAGGGAAGCCCTTGACACATTTTTTAATCTTTCAGTATTTTGAGACTGTCATTCCACTGTCTCCTGGCCTGTAGCTTCTGCTACAGATAGCCTAGTTCCTTTGTAGATTACCATCCTTATTCCCTGACTGCCTTTAAAATTCTTTGTCATTGACTTTTGACAGTTTTAATATAATGGGGAAGGTCTTCTTTTTTAAAATTTTTGGCTGCATTGGGTCTTCATTGCTGCATGCAGGCTTTTCTCTAGTTGCGGCGAGCCAGGGCTACTCTTCGTTGAGGTGCTTGGGCTGCTCGTTGTGGTGGCTTCTCTTGTTGCGGAGCACAGGCTCTAGGTGCACGGGCTTCAGCAGTTGTGGCACGTGGGCTCAGTAGTTGTGGCTCTTGGGCTCTAGAGCACAGGCTCAGTAGTTGTGGTGCACGGCCTTAGTTGCTCCGCGGCATGTGGGATCTTCCCAGACCAGGGCTCGAACCCCTGTCCCCTGCATTGGCAGGCAGATTCTTAACCACTGCGCCACCAGGGAAGCCCCCTTGGAGAAGGTCTTTTTGCGTTGAGTTAATAAGGTGTTCTCTTAGCTTCAAGGACATACAGTTCCTTCCCCAAATCTGGGAAGTTCTCGGCTATTATTTCTTTAAATAAACTCTCTGCTCCCTTCTCCCTCTCTTCTTCTGGGATACCCATTATCCTAATGTTGCCCTTCATAATAAAGTCAGATAGCTCTTGTAGAATTTCCTCATTTTTAAAGATCTTAGTTCTTTCTCCTCTTCTACCTGTATCATTTCTAGATTTTTTTTTTTTTGCGGTACGCGGGCCTCTCACTGTTGTGACCTCTCCCGCCACGGAGCACAGGCTCCGGACGTGCAGGCTCAGCGGCCATGGCTCACAGGCCCAGCCGCTCCGCGGCATGTGGGATCTTCCCGGACCGGGGCACGAACCCGTGTCCCCTGCATCGGCAGGCGGACTCTCAACCACTGCGCCACCAGGGAAGCCCTCTAGATTTCTTTGATATTGCTAATTCTGTCTTCCAT